TACAATTACAATTCTGTTTTCATCTGAAACACTTTCAGTTTCACACCAATCTGAATACTTCCTTTCCTGGAATGAAGCACACCTTTTTAAGCTCCTCCCTGTTTATAGACTATTTACTTCAGACATTACTGATCTGCCGGTCATGTGATAAGATGCAAAACAAAAAAATTTGCAAAGAATTTCCATCTGCTCAGGTCAGTGTCTCTGCATGAAAATAGCTTTTTTCTGGAAACAGAAAGTAAGACGTCGTTTGAGTGGAGGAGACATGGCGCAGCAAATAATTGAGCTGTATCGAGAAAAACTGAGGTGTTCCATCTGTCTACAACTTCTAAAGGATCCAGTCACTATTCCCTGTGGGCACAGCTACTGCATGACCTGTATCGAAACCTGCTGGAATGAGAAGGAAACCCACAGCTGTCCTCAGTGCAGGCAGACTTTCAAATCGCAGCCTGTCCTGGTGAAAAACATAATTTTAGGTGAGCTAGTGGAAGATCTAAAAGCAGGACTCACATCTGCTTCATCTGGTCATGCCTATGCTGGACCTGGAGATGTGGCCTGTGATTTCTGTTCTGGAAGGAAGCGGAAAGCCTCCAAGTCCTGCCTGGTGTGTATGGCCTCTTATTGTGAGCATCACCTTCAGCCTCACTACAACGTAGCTCCATTAAAGAAACACAAGCTCATCAATGATGCTTCAAAGCTTCAGGAGAACTTCTGCCCTCGCCATGATGAGGTGATGAAGATCTTCTGCTGCACTGATCAGCAGTGTATCTGTTTTCTTTGTTTAATGGATGAACACAAAGACCATGTCACAGTGTCAGCTGCAGCAGAAAGAGCCGAGAAACAGAAAGATCTTGAAACAAATCGACAAAATGTCCAACAGAGAATCCAGGACAGAGAGAAAGATGTGAAGGTGCTCCAAGAGGAAGTTGAGGCTATAAGTCTTTCTACTGATAAAGCTTTGAGGCAAAGTGCGAAGATGTTCAAAGATTTGATCAGTCTCATTGAGAAAAAAAGCTCTGAGGTGAAGCAGAAGATCAGATCCAAGCAAAAATCTGAACAGAACAGAGTCAAAGAGCTTCAGGAGAAAATAGAGCAGGAGATCAGAGATCTGAGGAGGAGAGAC